GGTGATGGCACTAGTTGGAATCAGTGACAACATTATTAGCTATAAGGACAGTCTGGTCTAATAATTTACTCCATAATTATTGACACGATGACTCTTGTACTAACGACGCTAATTAGGAAAGGTTCAATGAACGGTTGGAAAATAGAAGTAGGAAAACTGAAATAATATGTAGAAAATTATTATTTTTCATATATATATATCATATATTATCTATTTTAATCCATGATATTATAAATGAGAAAGTGTATCCGTCTGTTTGTTACCTTTTCATGACTACATGCCACAGGTATGTTACATAGTTATAGTCCTTTTCTCCCTTTCTTACTTCTTATTACTGGCTGTGTGATTATTATAGAACAACAGCTAAAGTAAAATATAATACGTTTTGTTCTGTCACAATATCTTGTAGCTCAATTATAGTATAAAAAATAAGCAGCCGTAAATCTATGCCCATTAGCGTTGAAAAATATTTGGTAAACATGAATGACGGAGTAATGGAATTTGAAGCCGAACAAAGGGCTAATAAAGGAACGTTTCCGAGATAAAGCGGCTAGTCACCGCTCGGGGCGTATGGGCGATCATTTCAAGTCAAATGAAAATATGAATCTGCTTTACAGCAGGAATGTAATAAATTTACATTGCCGTCGCGTATTAATGGTCTAATTTGCTTTACGCCCAATTTGTGCATTTTTTAGTTTAACATTCAAGTAATTAAAAGCTATACGTACAATAGTGTAAAAATAATTTATAATTATCCATAGCTCATATGTGAGTAAGTTACAAATCAAGTTAGTTAATTGTGTTTTGGTTGAAGGGTGAGATAAGGTAGTGAAATTATGTGAATTGTATAATATGGAACACCAGTAATTCCGTAGATACGGGTAGGAGAACAGTACTTTAGTTCTTTGAATCAGAGGCATTAAGAGCCATATGATATGTGATGTCCGTGGTGCTGTTCATCTATAGGCAACCACCATTTACCATCAGGTCAGCTTTTTGTGTATTCTAATTGTATTAGAAAAGGCCTGTCCTGATGATGATAGTACCTAATTTTGTAATTTGAATCAGAGACATTTCACGACACCGCACTGTCACAATATGTTTGCGACTGTAATTTGGAATAATCTAGATACTTAGGCTGTTATTGCACAAAATTCAACTTTACACGTGTACCTCGGTTGTTTTGCTTGGTACTACTAATCTTTTAACATTTCTTCCACTGGGAAGTATCAAGACGAAAACTTTTCAAGCCCGCGTAATTTGCGTGTAACAATACCTATGCGTAATTTGTGTTACATTTGTGAGACGCGATTTAAAACGCCCACAAATTATGTGTGGGCGTCTCCTCTCGTCGTCCTCTTATATCCATTCTCAACTCTCTAAATTATATTTTTACATTTTTACTTACCTGTATTTCGGTTTGAGCTATGACATTGAAATTACAGTTTTTCAGGTTACGGACAGTCCTCATGAAAAGGTAGCACAAGCATGGAACACAACGACTTTGTGTCTATCATGCTTTTCATGTAAGCTATCAGCTTGTACACTATTCAGTTGCCAAAAGGAGAGTAATAGCGAGATGGCATATGTAGTATGGTTTCAAAAGTCGACGATTTTAAGCTTAAATAATGAAGGCAGATAGCCATCTATCATTTTGAGGTCTAGAGGCTCTACTACAAATTTTGTATACGTTTGCAATCCTAGCTCATAGGACGGTAGGCGTCCTATGTGCTAGAAAGAGTCTCGCTGTTCTGTATTCCGAACCTCCTTAGTCTAAGCAGGTTGTACCACCGGCTTGTTTACTGAATCAAAGGGCGCTTGGTAATACTGGCCACAAATAAATACACTTAAATTTCAAAACTAGAATAAAAAAACAATTGAAAATAAGAACTGACGTAAAAAGGACGCTCAGTATTTTTAACTATATAAAACCAAATATTAATTTAATATAATATAATTGTTTTTATGAAAATGTACACTCTAGAGTGCGTAGCCACGAAACATATACACATCGGGACGTTCCTAAGCAAAAGTGATTAAGTTTGGTGTTACTTTGCTTACTTTGGGGTTGGTATTCGGACTGTGGAAGACGTTCTTCCAGGTCGAAATCGTATTTTTACTTCCTTTTCCTTTAATTATTTTCTTTTCAATAAATATAGTCCACTCTATGTTATACATTACTTTATAAGGATTCAACAATCCAACACTGACCTATGTAGTTCAATTTGTTATAATCGTGTTAGCATATTTCTCTCGTTTGATGTTATCTCTATTGTAGCTTCAGTCTTTGTACTCTGATTTTACTGTCTTAATTAACACTTCGACCGAAAAGCTTATATAGCAAACCGTTAGGCAGTAGAAATCGATGAGATGGACAAATATACTAGAGGATAACAAAATATATTATAAATTATTTGTATAATTTCTTCAAATTGTAGTGTAAAGACATGGAAGAATAGTTGGCAAGCATCTACTAAAATATGTGTAAGTTATTAACAAAAATTGTATTTACAGGTTTTTTGTAGAATATAATTCAAATTCAAATTCAAACTTTTTACATACCTACCCATGTGAAGGCTCAATAAATTTTAATAAAAAAAGATATATACTCTATTCTTCATTGTACGTACACATGAGAAAAAAAACAGTAATACAGTAATTGTAATGTACCTACAAGGTCGAGTTTTTCTCTAACAATAGATTTCTTCCAGGAAACCTAGAAAATGTTATAGATTAGCGTGTTAACTACATAGATCAGTCATACATACAGTTATTTTTTTTTACTTAAGAAAATCACAGTTGGGTTTTTGTGTCTTTGTCACGTCCCTCTTACGCCACGCCTCTGTTATTATTTAAGGCTTTGGGGTGACTTAGCTTGTAAATTGTAGTTAATTTGATTACATGTCACGTAATTTATTATTTCACTTTGAATATTTTAACGAAATTTACAAGGCTTCTTATCCTAGAAGTGGATACGATGATTGTCTTTAATATCAGTTTCAATATTACACGAATTTTATCGGTAATTACAAATTATGATAAATTTACCATATAATTAGTAGTTAAAAAGAAATAAAAAACATAATTACATCGCAGTCTAAAAATGAACGTTCTGACTGAACTAACGAAAATGAATGAATCTGTTGACGAAACCAAAATAATGTGTTAATTCATTGAACATATAGAACATTATATTATAATTTTATTATAGCACAGTTATTTATATGACACATATTACAGACTCAGTATCTCACACAAAACTTACTTCTTGTTTTGTGGTATCTAATAATCTGATACGAGTCTCTTCTAATAAAAGGAGGAGAAAAACATAGTGAAAATATTCCAAACAAATAAAGTGAGATATATACATTTACGTCTCACTTTATACGCTATTTGAAGGCAAAAGGTGAGATAGGGGTACTCACGGAGATGACTATATTCGCAATATATTTCATAGAATTTAATAAATTATAAAGATTGTTAAACATTCTATGTAGATTTTAAATATTCTGCACTCCTTTTTTTACCTTCATTACAAGTATTCTTGTTATTTAAACCTCACTGAAGAGCAATTAAATAAGTTGAGCATCTTCAAAATACCTGGAAATGGTTCTTAATTGGGCTTTGCAAACATGATCATATTTCCCAATTTTGTGCTCAGTTCAAAGGGCTTCTCAACCGTTTTCGAGGAATCTTTCGGTGAATCTTTCGATGAATCGACATCATGTTAGGTATATCCTTTTTTTATTTTTTTCAGGAGCTCCCTTTTGAATTAAAAAAAAATATTTTTATTTAAATGCCCATATGAAGTTATACACAAATACAATCTATATACATATTACTCATGGAATATCCAAGTAGTCTACCTGTCTAAACAAACTATAAATTTTTACAATAAACTTGAAATGACAATGATTTATGAGCTCATTCAAAATGTCATATATCATACGTTTACAAAGTACGAATTAAACGTGTATATGTATATAGATTGTATATATATATATAGATATTCTATGGAATATCTATTCCAAGTAGTCTACCTGTCTAAACAAACTGCCTTAAATTTTTATTTAACTTTTACTTAAAATAAACTTGACGACAATGATTTAATCGTTGAGCTCATTCAAAATGTCATATATCATACGTTTACAAAGTACGAATTAAACGTGGGCATAATAAAACAAAATTAAAAATTGGACATCGTTAAATAAAATGGGCAAAATCTACACTCGACACTGGCATAATGTCTTCTAATAAAGAGTCGACGAGGTGCCATCAATAAAAATAAAAGGAAATGTATTATATATTATTTTCGCACAGCTGGATGTATACTGCTGTACTTGTTTGAAAATCGAATGTCACATTTTTTTAAATAGAACTCTTTTTTGTTTTTTGTCAATGCTGGTTTCTTATCCTTAGTGTGAATTTAAATTGAATCAGGTTATTTTATAGTTCTATGAATAGTGCTATTTTTATTGAGCCACTATGATTTATTTATTAATAGCTGTACTCGCGAATTCGTCCGCGTGGAATTTAACAAAAAGTTAATTAGAGATTTTTTCTAAAATAAAATAAACCTAAGTTACTCCTTATTACATCAGCTACCTGCAAAAAGTCCCGTCAAAATCGGTCCAGCTATTTCAGAGATTAGCCGGAATAAACAGACTGACAGACATACAGCCAACAATTGAAAAAAACATTATTTTGGTGTATGTACCGTATTTATATTCATATGCATGTAGTAAAAAAACGGTTATTTTAATACAAACGGACACACCAATTTTAATTTTAATTTATAATGAATGATAGGTATATTTTTGCCAAAATAAGACTTAATTCAACATAATTATTTTAAAAATTCGAATATTGTTTTTTTTATATAGAGATAAGAGAATTTTACAGTATGAATAAAATGGATTTAATGCCAAGCGTTGAATAACTAAGTTTACTGCAAAACAACTCCCCTTGGTTTTAGAAATTTTATCATTTTAAAAACTCACTTCTGATGTAAACTCGCTTGACTCAAAATGCTGCTTGCAGCTGTGGGGGGTGTTTAATAATCCCATCTGATACTGCGAGGCGTTAGTTGGCTGAATATGATTGCGTTGTTTTGAATATAAATGATGTCCTAGTTCCGGTTTCTGGTCGACCTAATTTAAAAAATAAATATAAATTGACTTTGCTATTGGTCTTCGATATTTCTTTTTTGAAACACAAAATATTTCTATCTTGCATGTTAGCAATATCTATAACTATGTAATTTAACCAGAAAAAATAGGCGTCTTTATAAGCTTCTCTTGATATTCTAAAGTTTTTTTATTATTATTGGGTTTGGAAAGTATTTTGATTGACTTTATTTTTATTTTATAGTAGCACAGTAAGATAACGTTACAGTTGTCGGCATTAGTTATAGAAAATTGTTGTGAAATTAAAACATCGGAATAACTTAAAAATATTCTAATGAAAAATTATTTAACTTAAATAAATCGTAGGCTAGACTCTTTCAGCTTTCATGATAATTTCTTATTTTGTTAAGTATAATAATGACATAATTAGTGCGTATAAGAAAATAAGCCATGTCATTTCAACCTCTGTTTCTTTCCACTTATATTCTGTCAGCTCGTACTTTACTTGCACAAACACAGTGTACATTAAGTGAGATAATTTGTTTTTATAATGGTTATAAATATCTTGTATTTCAATTTGCATTCGAGTTAACAACATCATTACGTCGAATACAAATTGTTATAAATGAAATTGTTCACCGAAGCGGAATTTAACTCGATTTGCTCCATTCTCATTTTCCTTTTAAAAATCTCTTGGAATTGTTACTTTGAGTTCATACATCATTCCATGCACGAATATTATGAAACTGAAATCTCAAGTAAGAATGACGGCCTATTTGATTGTAAGTGGTAACTGGTAATAGTCGCTTCTATATATATATGAACAGCACCACTGACATTTCGTAATCATGTAAATCATGGTACTCAAGTGATTCATCATCGAAGAACTAAGATGTCAAGCAACTGTCCCTATAATTTTACTTCCTTTACTCACCTTTCAAGGGAAATTTGTCTTTAAAAGTAATTTGCTTGTTAAAATAAGTGAGACAGGTACGGCGCAGTCAACTCCGTAGAAAGTCAGCATCTATAATTTTAATTGAAATAACAGGTCCAAATAATATTCTACCGAAGAGTCATACATGTTTTCCAAATTGAAACTGAATAAAAATGCTTAAAAATGTACTAGTTGTGTTTCTTGCCAGTTCTTCTCAACTGAAGTAGTTAGCCAAACTGGCCGGTAAAGGTAGCGAAAAATATGACATGTACAAGAGGCTGAAAAGTCCTGTGATCTTTAAATTTTGAAAATTTAAATTGATCATTCAAGGACATTTAATCGTTAAACACTTTCAATTAGAATTTATTTGATTTACTAAATGAGAAAAAGAATGTTCTCGAAAAATTTACTCATGCCGTAACAAGCAGTCGATACTACATATTATATATACCTGAACTTCCTATAGAATTTCTAACCATATAAATAGATAAATAATCAAAAACTGTAACTGAATGTTCTGGCTTGTAGCCGAGATCAGATTAAGAGATTGGACAATATGACATCCAAGATAGATTACAATCTTTAGATTATTTACACAATACCTTACTATTATTGGCCTTCTATATAAAAATATTGTTATAATTTATTGTTATAAAATTATTATATATATATTACCTGTATAAAATTATTAATATTAACCTTTAATATAGTATTATTTTATTTAATATAGCCATTACTGTAATACTATTGTAGAGGGAAGGGAATTGTTAGTAATTGCTAGCAATTCCCATGTCAGTTTGATCTCCATGCGCTATCCCCTGGGAACATCGTAATAAATTCCTGGTAAGTTTGCTACCATGTGCTAACCTGACTTTATGTTCATATTGTCATTCTCCACTGGTACGAGTATATATATATAACTTTAAAGTATGCTATTAAACAACATGTATCTATGGCTAATAACTTAACACCGTAAGACGTTGTACACAAGTCAAAAATAAGCCCAACAAAGTATTAATTAAAATTTCACTGTATCAACCATACAGAACATCCTGATTATTTCCTCGTGAAATCTCCCAATACGGGTTAAGTAATCAGTTTTTATACTTGATTGGCATCTTGTCAGACTATGCTTTAGCGTAGGCAGTTCTAAAGAAACTACATGAGAAAATCATATCGATATGTAAAGACTTATTACGCCAATCTGGACAGATAAATCCATTTAATAGAAGAGGTAGACTTTTTAAAAAGTTGTCTGCATGGATTACCTCTGTGTTATCTAGTACTGCAGTTAACCAACTTGATTCGCTGGGCACTTCATTAAATTCTAGTTATAGTAGTTCTTGCGGCAAATGGTAAAAAATATCCATCTATCCACACTTCCACAGTTATAATATTAGTAAGATTGGTTATTTACTCTTTTTACTTACATAATTGTCGTGGCACAGGTATACGTATAAATGTTTTCTAATTTTAAAAGTTTTCCCTCTACACTTCCCTATTTTTCACATTCGGCTATAACGTGGAAATATAGAAATATAGAGCACAGAGCAGTGAAACTCGTGAATAAACTTTTTGTTTGACACCTGTCATTTGTGTTTGTGTGATATTAATAAAAAAAGAATATGACGATACTTGTTTAAAAAGTTAAGAATTCATTTATAACGTATATTAGTGTTATTATAAATACATGAATAAGTAAATAAAGAAATCAAATAAATGGTGAGTTCATTTTGTTTCCATACAGTTCGTTGTATTTATTTTTAAATTTCGTCAATCTAATATTTTATTGTATTAGCAAAGAATAACGATTTTGTACTAATAGTTATTCAATAATATTAAACAAATTTAGTTTGACTAAGGACTAAATTTGACTAAAAACCTATCTACATTCGATTCGGTCGCAGGTTCCATTCCTCGCACGGTTCAAACATTTGTATTCATGAGTATGATTGTTTGTATCGGTATCGTTATTTTCTACGTATATTTTTTTAAAATTATTTATACATAGATTTATTTTAAATAAATATTATTTATGTATTTACAAGAAAAACCTATGTATTTATATCAGTTATCTAGCACCCATAACACAAGCTATGCTTACCCTGGGACTAGATGGCGCAGTGGTAATTGTCCAGGTTATCTATTTATTATTTATTTATATAGGACATTTTTTTTATTCGGCCTTCAGTTTTCTTAGTTTTAATAAAAAAATACTATAGATTTAGAACTTGCATTTTTTGACAGTCGCTTGAAGATCAACTCGCTATCTGACACAATTGGAAATTTGTTTCACCACAAGAAATGTCTTGAAGCAAATGGCGACTTAAAAATACTCTGCTTGGTGTTGATTTACGAGAAAAGTTTTCGAGAAGGATTTATTAAAGTGGGCGAGGCGTTTGGAGTTGCTGTGGAACTTTTTAATAATGTTGAAATAAGTGTAATCCATTCAATTAAGATGCTCAGCGGTATTTAGGTGAATTAATACGATATTGGAAATAAGACTAAATGTAACCGAAACCGTTATTTTTACTTGACCGTCAAATAATGGAGTGTAATACTTTAAATAATTTAAATGGCAAACATTATTTACGATTTTGCACATTGCAGCAGTTTAGCACACTGCCGCCTCAGTTCCGGCTTCTGATAGTTGGGAGTTCTCGTACGACACAAACGTTTGTACTTATGATTATGATTTTTTGTTCTGGTCTATACGTTTCATATGTATATTATGCATGTATTTAAAGTATTTTTATCAGTTATCTGATACACCATGGCTCTGTGTAAATTATCCAGGGCTATTATTTATTTATGTATAAATAAAGCTTTTACAACATAATAAATAATCTTTTAATTAATTATGATTTACCATATACCGTGTTCTAAAGAGGAAACATAAGATAATTTAAAGGTTGCCAGACGGGGGTCGCGAAGTGGCATCTCAGTGGCACTGTCACGTACTAGTGATCAATGTAAGCAGATTATGATAGAAAGTTGTTGAAAGGCAAGTGAGAGAATGGGTGGTTTAAATACAACAAGATTAAACAGTTCCATTAAATGTTGGAAATGTTTTGATGTTTATACTCTGTTTATAAGATACTTTTATTTTATCGAATTAGGTGTTATTTTTAAGTGCATTTCACTACTAAATGGATTTTATTATTTACTTAGCAGAATTAAACAATTAATATTAATCCATTATTAATTATTTCTTTTTTTGTGTAATAGTAATGGTAAACAATCTGATATTAAGCTGTAACTGTTATCTATATATGAACGAACAGTACTATGGATATCACGTTATCATGTGACACCCGTGATGCGTTGCCTTTCCAAAGGACTTAGATGTCATGCTCATATCACGGATAAAATAGATAAGGGTATATAAGATATCTCTATCTAATTTCTCCTTTAATGTTAATTACGGAGGGAGTAGAGAATTTTTATACCCTGACTCGAAAGGGGTGTTATACGGTATGCTGGGTCTGTGTGTCTGTCTGTGGTACAATAGCTCATACACGAATAGAGCATCTACGATAAGTATTTATTTTGTTTGAATGTTGATGTGATTAAGACTGTTCTTTGCTACAATATTGTAGTTTTTGGGGTTAATATAACTTTCTATTTTATAATTATTAAAAAAAATGCAAGATTATATGACTTACTTATTAGAATCTGCGCAAGTTCACGATTACTTATTTATGGATGTTGATTTAAAAATGCATGTATCTTTGCGAACGGTATATGACGGAGCAGAATAGAAAATGATAGAACGAGGATTAGTTAGAGTTAAGAGAAATCAGATCAGTTTGTTATTATGGCGATTTTACCAGAAATTTACTATGATGGTATCTACGATTATGGAGAACCGCGTGAAGTTCGATCCAATAAGAATCCTTTCATCTTCTTTCCTAAACAGAAATATTATCAACCGCCGATGATCCATGTTACATATTTCTAAGCATTTTGAAAAAACCCTACGTGATAATTTTTATACCCGTTACTCAGAATGTTTTTGATTCTATAAATAAGTATCTACACAAATAAATAAAACTGAAGTGTCCGTTTGTATTATATATATATTGTTGTATAATAAAATTGAATTTTTTTATTTATTATTTTTCTTGTTAGTCTGTCTGATTGTTCTTATGATTTCTGAAACAACATGAATGATTTTCACTCGTTTTTTAAAGAAAACTTCACTCTTTTAATAAAGAAAAAGTTAAGTGACATGTGGAGGATATCGTATGTAAAAGCTAGTAATTAATATACTAGCTCTTACCCACATATTAATATACGAAATGTACAAAATAAAAAAAAAAAATCTAATTTACATTATTCTATGATTACCTAAATGATACTATTTTTAAATACATTTAGATAAGGGCAAAAAATGTCTAGTGGAATTGCTTCAAGATATTGAATCAAATTATAACGTAATAACAAAAATTGAGACGAGTTGTTCATAACGAAGTAAAGAAATGGAATTATAATGTTTTTAGATTTATAAATTATTTATTAATATGAGATAATTTGCTTTTTTATTTAATTGGAATGCTGATGGCCCACCTAGTAGGCGGCAACCGTTGTTTATTTTTTATAGCATAGGGAACAAACGAGCTTGCGGCTTACCTGATGGTAAGTGATTATCGCCGCCCACGAGCATCCGTAACAGCAGGGGAATTACAAGTGCGTTTCCGGACTATTGAGAAGGAATAAGCTCTTTAATTGAAGGTTTCCATATTGTATTGGCTTGGAAATACCGTTGCTAGAAGGTGACTTTACAATGTAGTTGTGCGTGGCAAAAAAAATATGAAAAAACGCACGGTGGAGGACCGCCGTTCATCCAGATGATTGGGATGATATTTTAGTATATACATAAATAGCGTCTTAGACATCATGACATCACGCAAGGTCAATAGTATCTACCATCCTCTATGTTATCATTCGGGAGGTCTAAGAAGTTGTGCCTCCGTGCCCTTTTATTTAACTGCCATATATCACTCTTTAACCTAAACTCAGCTCAAAAAATCTGCCGTACGGCAGCAATTGTATTTGCTATATTTTTGCAAGAACTTGTGTTCTGTTTCCTTTTTATTAATGTATATATTTATTTTATTTACAGTTTATGTTTATATGAGTCCACTATAACACTTGTTAAAAGGCTGCGTGTGATTATATTTATATTTGGCGTTTTTAATGTAATTTTTATGTGCTTCTAATTTGGCTGTTAATATAGATCAGAGATACCTAACATAATTATGAACAAGTGCCAAGTTATTTTTGATACATGTTATAATATTAAACGAGTTAGGTATTTTATACAGAATAAAATCTTATTTTGTTTATAAAAGAACCTTTTATATATTATATCCTTTGGAGTTATAAAATATTTTTGTATTTATAGTACAATGTAGGGTGCATGTTATTTGACTACCCACGTTTCAAATGTCTTTATTACTATGTAGGCGAATAAACGAATATACGTATTATATATTTTTAATGTTATTAACCGTTTTAATATAATTTGAATCTTATTTCAATGCTTAAAGGCTCAGTATTCAATGAATATAAATCACCACTTGTAGGTAGAGAGGCATAAGGAGTAGCTTAATTAATTAATAAAAATGTAATATAATACTAAAGGTATTTTTATGTCGTAGTACGTATGTTTATGAAAGGTATGTTTTACCTCATACTGTATTAAAAAAATAACTGAAAGTGCGTTTTCCCTTTTATAATTATAACAGTAAAATCATATCATTGGTTACAATAATTTTACAATATTTATTTAATAACAATAGTTACATAA